TTGTGTGCCCAATGTGGATGGGCTGAGAGAGTTAATTCTGGAGGAGGCCCATAGCTCGCGGTATTCTATTCATCCGGGTGCCGCGAAGATGTACTAGGATTTGAGGCAACACTATTGGTGGAGAAGAATGAAAAAGGATATTGTGGGATTTGTAGCTCGGTGTCTCAATTGTCAACAAGTGAAATGAGCATCAGAGACCGGGTGGCTTACTTCAGCAGATGGTTATTCCTAAGTGGAAGTGGGAGAGGATCACTATGGACTTTGTTGTTGGACTCCCACGGACTTTGAAGAAGTTTGATATTATTTGGGTGATTGTGGATCGGCTGACTAAGTCCGCGCACTTCATTCCTATTTGTACTACCTATTCTTCAGAGCGGTTAGCAGAGTTATATATCCGAGAGATTTTTTGGCTGCATGGTGTTCCGGTTTCTATCATTTCAGATCGGGGTTCTCAGTTTACTTCCCAATTTTGGAAGTCTGTTTAGCGAGAGTTGGGTACTCAGGTGGCGTTGAGCACAGATTTTCACCCTCAGACGGACGGGCAGTCCGAGTGTATTATTCAGATATTAGAAGACATGTTGCGTGCTTGTGTTATTGATTTCGGAGGTTCATGGGATAAGTTTCTACTACTTGCAGAATTTGCTTACAACAACAACTACCAGTCGAGTATTCACATGGCTCCATATGAGGCTTTGTATGGGAGGCGGTGTAGATCTCCAGTTGGTTGGTTCGAGCCCGACGAGGCTACGCTATTGGGGACAGATGTGGTTTAGGATGCCTTAGATAAGGTGAAGGTGATTCAGGAAAGGCTTCATACAGCGCAGTCGCGACAGAAGAGTTATGCGGACCGGAAGGTTCGAAACGTGTCCTACATGGTTGGTGAGAAGGTCTTGCTGAAGGTTTCGCCCATAAAGGGTGTTATGAGATTTGGGAAGAAAGGAAAGTTGAGTCTGCGGTTCATTGGGCCTTTTGAGGTGCTTTTGAGGATTTGGGAGGTGGCTTATGAGCTTGCTTTGCCGCCCAACCTGTCGATTGTGCATCATGTATTTCATGTTTCTATGCTCCGAAAGTCTATTGGGGATTCGTCTCATGTTTTGGACTTCAATACGGTTCAGTTGGATGATGATTTGACCTATGATGTGGAGCCATTAGCAATTTTAGGTCATCAGGTTCGAAAGTTGAGGTCAAAGGATATAGCTTCGGTGAAAGTGCAGTGGAGAGGTCGGCCCGTTGAGGAGGCTACCAAGGAGACCGAGCGGGAGATACGGAGCAGATATCCTCACATGTTTGAGGCTTCAGGTATGTTTCTTGACTCGTTCGAGGACGAACGTTTGTTTAAGTTGGGGAGGATGAGACGACCTGGCCAATCGTCTCATGAGTTACCGCTCCATGTTCCCCTATTTTAGCTTCTTTACTCTTCGTTATCCGTGTTTTATGTGATCGGTTGATCAGTTCGAGTTCGGAGAGGATTTGGTAAGAAATGAGACACTTAGTCTCTTTTAAGAAGGCTTAAGTTGGAAAAGTCAACCGGATATTTACTTATGTGTTAGAAGGCTCGGAAGTGAGTTCTGATGGTTCAGTTAGCTTCGGGAGGTGATTTGTGACTTAGGAGCGCGATTGGAATGGGTTTTAGAGTTGTAGAGAAGATTTAGGCTTAAATTGGCGAAGTTGATATTTTGGCAGTTCCGGTTGATAGGCGAGATTTTGATATAGGGGTTTGAATGGAATTCTGAGAGTGACAGTAGCTTCGTTGTGTCATTTGGGATGTGTGTGCAAAATATTAGGTCATTCGGACGAGATTTGATAGACTTTTTGATCGAAAGCATAATTTAAAAGTTCTTGGAGTTCTTAGGCTTGAATCCTATGTTAAATTGGTGATTGATGTTGTTGTGAGCGTTCCGAAGTTTTGAAAAAGTTTGAACGATGTCATGGGATATGTTGGTACAATTGGTTTGAAGTTCCGAGAGTTCCGGGGAGGTTCCGGGATATTTTAGGCCGAAAATCATAGCTGTAGCAGGTCGAGAAGGGTTGCAAGCCTTGGAACTCACCCACGGTCCACACAAAAAGAAGTGTGGCCGCGGTATGTGCTGTTCGGACCGCACAAAATGAAGTGCAGCCGTGGTAGGTGTTGTGCGGAACGCACAAAATGGTGTGCGGCCGCGGTGAAGAACATTCTGTTGGTCCTACTTCGGAAGCTCATATCTTTTGATATACAAGGAATTTTGAGATGATTCAAAAACTATAGTTGTAGCCCTTCGTGTCTAGTTTCAAGAAAAATAAAGATATCGTAATTTGGACATCTGTAGCAAAGGTTATGGTCAAAATACTAAAGTCTGTCATTGCAGAGGAAAGCTTGTGCGGCCGCGGTCGTTTTTGTGCGGACCGCACTGGTTTTGTGCGGACCGCGGTCGCTTTTTTTGTATGGCCTGCGGAGGTGGAAATCTGTGGGGTACTCTATAAATACGAGGTTTTGGGTTTTATTTGATATTTTGACCTAGAGAGCTCGGATTTTTGAGATTTTTCGAAGGTTTTTCAAGAAATTCATCGGGGTAAGTGATTCTAACTCAAATCATTGAATTCATCATTTAATTCGTGATTTGGGATGGAATTTGGGAAGAAAATTGTGAAATCTTTCAAAAATATAAAATGATGATTTGAAGGACCAAATGATATTGGAATTGGATAATTTTCGTATGGATAGACTCGTGAGAGTATAAGGATTCTAGTTTTGTGAATTTTGTCAAATTTCGAGATATGGGTCCGGGGTCAGGTTTGACCAATTTCTGGAATTTTGTGGTAATTCGATTGTTTTCGCTTGGGCTTTGTTCTCTTAGCATATTGTGACATATTCGTTCTGATTTTGGATATATTCGACGCGCGTGGAGACCAATTCGAGGGGCAAAGGCGTCGCGAGCTAGAGAATTAGCCGGTTCGAGGTGAGTAATGGTTGTAAATGATGTTATGAGGGTTTGAAACCCCGGATTGCACATCGTAGTGCTATATTGAGGTGAGACACGCGCATGTGTGATGAGCGTGAGGTCTTTTACTACTGGGGATTGTGACTTGGTCCGTCCCGATTGATAATTTTACCGCGTATTGACTGAAACTTATTTGTTATCATCATGATTTGGGCTGATTGCCATATTTGGGCTTCGTGCCAATTATTTGAACCCTCCGGGGATTTTTATCACTAATTCCTCATTGTTTGACTTATTACTTGAACTCAGTCATGTTGATATTTACTGTTTTACAAACTCAGCCACTTTTATTCGTATTTGAACTTAAATGATATTTCTAAATGATGTTTTGGGCTGAGAACTACTGTTTTACTAATGCCCGAGGGGCTTGTGATGATTTTCGGACTGAGTGAGACTGAGGGTTATATGTGAGGATATACTGAGTGATATGAGCCCAAGGGCTTGAGATACTTTTTATTGCCACGAGATGGCTTGATATTGCGCTTGGGCCGTAAGGGGACCCTACGGAGTCTGCACCCCCACAGTGAGCGCGGGTACCCATCATGATTTGAGGGTGAGCCCGAGGAGTTGATACTGTACTAAGAGTGAGCCCGAGGGGCTGATATTGTACCGAGAGTGAGCCCGAGGGGATGATACTATTCTGAGTGATTGTTACTGTGCCCGAGGTGCGGATTTCTACTTGTTATTCACCTGCTAAATTATCTATTTTACGTGGTTTAAAGGAACTTCATTGGATTTCTTCATGGATTTACTGTCTTAAGTGATTTTACTGAATTACTTTGTGTCTTTACGTGTTTTCTTGCTTTCAGCCATTATTTATAATTATTACTCACTGAGTCGGAGTACTCACATTACTCCATGCACCGTGTGTGCAGATTCAGGCGTCGCAGAGCCCGCTCTTGAGTGCTGATCCTCCCAGTCTAGGCAGTGTTTTCGGAGACCACGAGGTAGTTGTTGGCGTCCACAGCCCCCGTGCCTTCCTTATCTTACTATTTTCATGTTCTTGAACTTCTGTAACGGATTTCGTATCTAGTAGATTGGTATCCGGAACTATTAGTTGCTCATGACTTGTAACACCCCGGTTTGAGTTGTGTCGGGATGGTTTCTACTGTTGTTATCGTTAATTCCGCAAATTATGGTTATTATATCATGTTTTAGAACTACTTATGGTATTTAACCCTTTAAAAGAGGTGGTATATTTTGGTGTGGCTGGCCTTGTCTTCACGAGAGACGCCATCATGACCGGGTTCGGGGAATTGGGTCGTGACAATTAGGCCCCTCATAAAGTTTCCTTTAGATCACAAAATTCGTTGGCATGCCCCTGAATACATATATATAATATCAACTATCAAGTGATACATCATTATATACAAAAATACATGTCGGGTAGAAGGAACAGGATAAAAAATATGTATTTTCAATAATCTTTGTTGACAATTAAAAAGAGAATAATTGAAATCAAGTTGAAAATATGTCATTCAATATGATTTGGTCAGATAATGTTAGATCCTGCTTAATTGAGGTTTCATTGAGTAACTTTTATGACAAAGTTTTCTTATATCTGCCGCCTTTGTGCAATATCTTTTTGTTGCTAACACAGATTATCTCATGGAATTAATTAAAAATAATAGAGAGAATAATAAAGTAATCAAAACGTGAAAAAATAAAGCATAAAATTGTCTCTTGGAATAGTTCGACTTAGTCATGCTTTCTTTCACTGACTAAAACTAATTTAGAGATACACGTGCATCGCAAGTGTCCAGAAGCTAGTGAACTCAAAAAAACACAAGGCATCCACATAGGATATTTATTATACATCGCATCTAGAGGCGGATGCAGAGCATAAATTTATGCATAAAAATTCATTAAAATATAATAAAATATAATTATGAACCCGTAACTTCAAAAATACAACGGGTTCAATGATAAGAACCTTAAAGATTGAACCATAAAACTTAATTCGCCTCTGATCACATCGACTTCGACTGAGGCATAATTATTGTTGTTGTTGTTATATAATATTTAGATGTAGCGAACATGAAATATATGACGCGTTTTAAAGACGATGTCGTACATTTGAACTGTGTTAAACTTGGCAAAGTCCTTTGGAAGAGAGATTGATAAGTCAGTGGGAGTTTTCTTGTGGAATTGATAAAAGTCAGGATCATCTCCACAATCATACTTTTCCCATCCCAAATCAGTGAGAATTTTCTCAAGAGAGTTATAAGATGAGACAATTTCTTGTGTTGGTAAATGTACCAAAACCTTTCTTTTTCTCCCAATTGATTGCTCTTCTTCACTTGGATTTTCGACCAAACGAATAACCCCAGTATTCTTGGAAAACCAAACTCCTGACATTTTCTTTTAAAAGATTCAAATATATGTATGTGAAAAATTGAGTTTTGGGTTGGTGAAGGGATCGATAAAGGGTATTTATACAAGTGATCATAAGCTTGTTAATATATAAATACACACGTTTAAGACAAGACTTATTAATACTCCCTTTGTCCAGTATATCTAGCATCCTTCGGATTTCGAAAGTCAAATGAGTATTTTGTTTCCGGTAACTTTTTTATGTCTTTTATATATTTTAAAAAAAAATTATTTTAAATTTCTAAATATATTGTCTTGCTATTACTGTTATCGGTACTTCTTTCATGTTTTTTTATTGATATCTTCAATTTAGTTTTTCTAAATATATTGTCTTACTATGAATTGCTATCAGCATTTCTTCTATCTTCTTTAGCCGAGGGTCTATTGAAATTAGTCTTTCTGCCCTCCTAGGGTAGGGATAAGGCTACGTACATTCTATCCTTCCCAGACCCCACTCGTGAAATTTTTACTGTATTGTTATTGTTGTTATTTTATTTTAAAAAACTTTCAATGTATGAATTTATATGTCGAAATTAAAATACTTGGCGCTAAAAATCCGAATGGTGGCACAAAATTTAGAAAAAGTGGGAGTACTATTTAAAGGTAGGTGATGATAAGTTTGTTTTATACTCCATGTATTTGGAGTAGAGATTTAAATATTGGGGGAAATCATGAAGAGATAACGAATCTTTAGGATATGAATTATTTTTAAGCCATAAAATTATAAATACCATTTTTGTATGTTTGGTGAAAGCTGTTATTAGTAAAATTATCTAGTCAACAACGTGCTTAACGAGATCACTTTGGGTATTATTTATAAGAGAAAATGATCTGTTCCCAACTCCTTTTCTCTAATAAAGCTAATCACTTTAATTTCCTCAAATTCATATTCTATTACCTTATGCACATTTAACTAATAAAATATTCCCGACAAAGTGGAATGTTAAATTCTATTCACCACCCTTTTGCTTAAGAAAGTTAATCACATTAAGTACTGCAAGTATTCCTCCACACCACCAAAAGATGTGGTGCGCTCGTATTGGACTGTTCTTCTTTGATTGATCTCGAGTTCGAGCTTTGAGTATAAAAAATTATTGTTAGGAAGCACTTTCCTCGAATAAGACTCTACGCGTCGCAAATTCAAATGTAATCGAGCTCCAATATGGATACCGAACACTAGGTGAAAACAAAAAAGTATTCCTCCACATGGCAATGTGAATTTGAAAAAACGCAGTAGATACAAGCGGCTCTGAACTTGGCTTAGTTTTCTTCTCTTTGTTTTTTTCCCTCAACTCTATGTACCCTTACTTTTATTTTTGTACTTTCCTCTTCTTTTTTTTTTTTGCTTTTTTCTTTTTGCGGCTGCCTTATTCAAACACATTGAAATATTAAATCCAAGATTGTTTTGCCACAAGGCAGCTTAACAAACATTAAAGTTAAACCCGAATAAAGAGGTTCCCTAAGCAGTAGTCGCAGAAAATAGCACGACCTAGTCAGTTTTTGGATTGGTAACTAAAAATAGTCAGTGTCTGCAAAGTCATAAAAAATAGCCGTTATTTTGCTGAAACACAAAAAGTTCCAATATAATATGTTAGATTATGTAGCTCCTGCGCAGGGGCGGACCTATGACACAGTATGAGGAGTCACGGGCACTCGTAAGTAATAACATAAATGCAAATTTTGGTAGAATATAAAAGTGCACCTGTGACCTTTAAATCTTGGGTCCGCCTCTGCTCCTGCGTATAAACTTCCAACATATTATGTTGGAACTTCAGCACGAAAAATTCCAGCATAGTATACAGGATTATGGAGCTCCTCCATTTAAACTTCACGCATATTATGTTGGAATTCTAGGACATGATGAAATTCCGGTATGTTCTACTGGAATCTCATATGTAAAAAATTTGAACTCCGACATATTATGATGGAATTTTTTCGAATTTTTAAGGGTATTTTTGTTCAGATTATAACTTTACATGAAAAAGTGTCTAAATTTCGATTACTTTTAAAACTGTGACTATTTTTTAATTACCAACCGTAAATCTGGATATTTTTGATTTTTTTCCTAGCTACAACTGATTCTCCCAGAGAAATACATGTATCAATTTTAGAAAAAGAAAAAAAGTCAAATATGTTATGAATAGTTTGTACATTGGATACTACATTGGATACTACATTTGATGCTACACTGGATGCTCATGTTGTGAATAACTTAAAGATTAAATTTCCTATATTATGTCAATCATCTTTACATTTTACTGCATTGCTTTTATTTTATAACACGTTATCAGCACGAAGCTCTAATTTTATTCTTAACTCCCGCTAAATTGAGCCATATTTTATTAAGGTATGTATCATTATAATCATTTTATTTATGGCAGTACATATCATATGCTCATTGTTTGCAGATTACTTGTGCGCTTGGGCATCTTAAATAGTTTAAGTACATTGCAGTGATAAAATAACTATTTTCTTCCGTGCTCAACTCTTAGAGGACCTCAAAGTCATCAAACTAGCTATGCACTAATGTCATACTTATAATATTCATGGACTCCCTAGATCAAAACATATCTTTAAGGCATTTTGAAGAACTGTGAGAAATAAATTGACACGCAATAATTATAGTTTAATTACTTTATATTTATTGGAACATATAAATAATGTTAGTCACATTCAGTTCTACTAACACATATATATCAATAATATAAAGTGAAATGAAACAAGTATGTAATTTCTACTTTATGGCAAGAATAAAATGAAATAGTAGATTGTTAACATGGTATAGCTCTATTTTCATTTCTTTTACCTTAATCGTTTTGTTTTCATTAATTGTTTATTATTATAATTATTTCTCTAACTTATTCATCTTTTATGATAGTTTTCACTATGTCAAATTTATCAAAACTTGAATTTGTGGCACTTGACATCACCGGGAGGAACTATTTATCATGGGTTCTTGATGCTGAAATTCACCTTGACGCTAAAGGTCTTGGAAATACTATTATACAAGGAAATGAAGCATCAAATCAGGATAAAGCGAAGGCCATGATTTTCCTTCGTCATCATCTACATGAAGGGTTAAAAACTGAATATTTAACCGTAAAAGATCCACTTGAATTATGGATTAATTTGAAGGATCGATATGACCACCTAAAACTTACGGTATTACCGAAAGCTCGGTATGAGTGGATACATTTAAGGTTGCCGGACTTTAAAACCGTAAGTGAGTATAATTCTGTTATCTTTAAAGTAAGTTCTCTATTAAAATTATGTGGAGACACTATCACAGATGAGGACTTATTGGAAAAAATATTTTCTACTTTTCACGCTTCAAATGTGGTGCTACAACAACAATATCGTGAAAAGGTTTTAAGAAATATTCTGAGTTAATCACATGCCTACTTGTGGCTGAGCAGAATAATAT